ATGGTAGGTTGGATATTTGTAGAAAATAGAGAGACACAATATGTACAAAATATGTAAGAGGAAAGTAAGAGGAGAGATAAGTACAACGGCCGGGAAAATAGTGAAAGTGAAAATAGTGAAAATACTGAAAATATACTGATTGACACGCTGTTCAGCCAGGTGCTGTGGTAATATGGCGTGTCACTCTTTGTTTGCCGATCAAGGAAACTTATTTATTTGCTGACGTCTGGTTAATGTGGTGATTGTGATTGAAAATTTATACCGATTTTTGTCTGGTTAAAACTACATGCTGGAAAACAAGTTATCGCGTTTTATACCTAATTATTATTGAAAGGCAGAGGCGTTATCAGATGTGACAGTTCCGCAATGGTGATAATTCCAGAGAATAGTCCTGAACCCAATCCTATCTTATCCAAATCCTTTCTAACGATTCCTTATGATGTCACAAAAATGTGGAACACTGACGGCAGAGCACAATATATACGAGACATTTGAGGTGAAGAAATGGCTAGGAGCCGGGTAGTTCAGTTGGGAGAGCGCTGGGTTCAAACCTCGATCTGAACTGCCCAGTTTTTCAGTCAAAATTTCTTGTCAATTTTATGTTGAGGATATTCCGGAATTCTATCTTGCATTATCCAAATCTTATCCAACGATTCCCTATGATGTTATAAGAATGTGGAATGCTGTATGAATTCTTGTCTTTAATGGCAAAATCAATGCCGGAGATTCTATAGAAGTAGATAGACCGTAGGTATAGTATAGAAGATTTGGAAAAATTTTGATAATTATTTGTTTATGAACTTATATTGGTAGAATCTCTGCACATAAGAAAGAATATGTTTTTTCTTTTCGAAACGCGGATTCAGTCGAAAATAGTATCCCAGGCATGAATGCCAAGCTCGAACAACCAAGCTTGTCTCAACCTAGACTTGCCTAGTCATTGGCAACCAGGCTTGGGCTATATTTCAATCAATGGGTAAGCCAGGCTTCAACCAATGCTGAACATCGAGCTTTGGGGACCAGGCGCGGGCCAGAAATGGGCCAAGAATGGCCAACAATAGTTAGTCAGCGAGGGATGGCCAGCCTTCGCCCTAGCTTGGTGGCCAATAAGTAGCCGGGATTAACAGACTTTCATCGGAAGACAATTTCTGGTCCACACTCGGTTTGCCCTTTTTCGACAAAGCATCGGGTAGGACGATCTTTATCCAACATTGGGCTGACCATGGAAGGCAAAGCTCAAGGTTCACCATTCGTCAAAGACTGACTCAATTACTGGCTGGAGGGTGATCCACGCTCGTCTGCCAATGGTCAGTAAATCCGGAGGAAGGGGGCGTAAAGAGAAGAACTCCATGGGCGGG